GAAAGTTGGGGAAACAGACTACTTCTCTCAGAGCTTAATTATGCGTCTCTTTAGATCCTGATGTGCTCCAAGCAACAGATTTCTCCCTTTTGATTTATTTGCCACCACAGAAATTGCCATGTAGTGGGGCTGGGAGTATAAGAATTCTCCTCTAGGTAAAATAATATTGTAAACCACGGGATAAACTGTGGTCTCATTAAACCCACCTTGAATTGAAGATCAGCATTATGACTTGCCGCAAGAGGCCCCCAAACCCAATGAGGGCAAAAGTCTGTTGCTTCCATGTCAACAGATTTGCACAGTGAATATTTCAGCAGTGCAGTACCTGTGACAAAACATGCAGCATAATTTCCTTTGAAAATGAAGAAGACCGGGTTTGTGCCTTGCTTTTGGGACTATGGATCTGATTTAAGACACAGCAGGTGTTCCCCATACATCTGATTCTCAAAAAGAATTACAGATTTGGCAGCATTGCTCCACTGAAATGGAGTGACATGGCAGTACATGCAGCTTTGGGGGCTGCCAAAGCTGGCAAGGGCATAGTGGAGCCTGTCATCCAGATGCTTCCTCTCCCTGCTTTAAAACATTAAAGCACATGTGTAAAATACCACTTGTCTGGTGACAAAGTTTGGCATTTAAATTTTTTTCTTTGTTTTTTACTTGATATACAGCTGGAAGGAAGAAGTGAAAGAGGACAGAGTGAGGTTGGTCTTGACGCAAAGGCAGCTTTCAACAGGGAGAGAGAGGAGCATAAGAAACTCCTGGCTGAGAGTCACCAGTTAGTGATGGACATGCAGTGGCAAATCCAGCACAATGAGAAGAACTGGACTAGAGAAAAAGGAGACTTATTGGAACAGTTTGACAAAGACCGACATGAGTGGGAGCGGCAAAAGCAGGAACTGCTGAGGCGGCTAGAGCAGGTAAGATCGGTGTCTGCTCCGGGCAGGAGAATTAGTGTTGAGAAATGTGTTGTGACAAAGGACTGCTGTGGGGTTTTAAAAAGTGTATTTCAGGCACCAGTTGAATGTGGTATCTCTGCATCATTGTTTCTCAGATAAACGCAGAAGCTTAAGGGACTTAAGCAGATGAAAACTAATTTTAGCATTTTTGCAACCATATGGGAAATTAGTTATAGGTTAAAGGCCATTTCCTTTCTCATTACACTTGCCTCACAAATGCATGACCACTATGAATAGTGTTTTTGCTTTTAGATCACAAACTGTACTAGATTTCTCCCCCTTTTTTTGCTGAAAACCAAATCCTACACATTCCATCCTGCTGCTCTTTTTCTTTTGAGTTCTCCCTCACAAATATTATCATCAGTGCAGGTGGGTGTGATCTGTGAGCCAACTGTGGTGGGTAGACCTGACTCTTAAGTGTACTCTTAAGCATCTTTTGTCCTATAGATTGGAATAAGCAAATTTCCACGAATTCCAGGTTGAAATATTACTGATATACAGTATTACCTGAGTGGAACAGTTGTCCTTGGAGCAAATGTAACATCAGAGTGGTGCACTGGTTTTTGATAGATACGAATCAGTCTTGACAACTTTTTAGTGCAAACACAGGGAACTCAAAAGACTCTCAAACAAATATAAACATTAGTAGTAGTAGAACTAATATTGAAATATTACATTCCACATAGGGGCAAATTCAACTAATATTGCAGCAGTACTCACAGCAGTAGTTTTCATTGCTTGATATAAAAAAAAATACAAGTAGTTTTTTGTTGTACTGTATGGTATAGATTAGTCCATAATTTCAGGAGTTAATTAAGCCAAATAATTACAAGCAATGCTAGTGCTAAAAGTTAACCCAAATTAAACTTTGTTAATTGAAAGTACATTATAATTTCTCTACCACACATTTATTAGTTAATTCATTTGTATGGAAGATTAATGTCTCATTCTTCAACATTGCAGTGCCATGATAAGCCAGTCAAAAGGAATATAAAGCAATTAAAATAAAGCAACAGAATAACAAAAGTTAAACATAGCATAGCAGTAACAAGATAGAAACACCTCATGTAAACCAGCTTGAGCATTATTTTAAAAGGCTTTGTAGAACAAAAAGGGACTGAAAAGATCTAACAGTAGGTTTCAGGGTGCCACCACTGGGGAAAAAAACCTTCTTCAGTCCTACCTGCTTTAAGGTTAAAAAAACAGCATGCCATCACAAAGGATATACTTCCTGGACCCAACTGGTCAGCTCTCTCCTGCTAAATATTATATGTGTGTGTGGGGGGGGGGAACGCTAGCAGACATATGATTGCCACATGTCTCCAAACAGCGTTTTGGATATTGTAAAAACAGCAAAGTTTTATTTTATCTGGAAGACTACTAGGAAATTCTCTATGGCATAAGATTTTGAGGACTGCATTCTATCTCATCTTGAGGCTTGAAATGTTGCTCTGAGATTTGGGTGTAGGTACACATCTTTGGGGTGGGAGTGAGCTATATACTGAGGTGAGAAGGAAATGAAATACAAAAAGAATGTGCAGTGGTAATTGCATTATTAACAATGACTCTTCACAAGGAAAAGTTGTTAATGATAGGACAGCTATTCTAGCATTGGAAAACTAATTAACACATGTATTGTGATAAGAAACCTTTGGCCTGACAAAAGCCACAGGTGTGACAGAATTGGAATGGGACTCTTTATCACAGTATGTCTATTAATTGACTTACCACTGCTAGAATGTATTGTGCTAGAATTAATTTGTTAATCTTTCAGGTGTCACAGGAATCTATGCAGTTTTTGTGCAAGGGACTGCAGAGTGAAGGAGAGAAGTCACTGCAGAAAAACTGCAAATACAGGAAAGTGTTTCTCAAGACACCTCTGATTATTGTTCAGTAACATCCAATACATTTTCCGAATTCATTGTTTCCTTCCTCTTTAGCAACTATAAGTACAAAATATGCAACGTTTAACATGGACAAAATAAAATACTACTGAAATAAGAAATGAAAAGGTGTATCCATGTATGTATATATGCATGTGTATACATGTTTCATGTTTCTGTACACATTATTTTCTCTATTGCTCAATTTAGTACTCAGCATATGGACAGTGGGGGGTAGGACTGTGGAAGCTACATGAAATTGGGAACAGTGGCAGAAATATAGCCATGCTTCCTGCTTACACACATATAGCCCTATTCTGTGGTTATGGGCAAAGTTATACCATATGTATTAGGGCAAAACGGTCAGATCAGATTAGGTTTCAAACTGCTGATATTTATTAATAAAAGTTTCTTATGTTTCCAGCCTCACAGTATATTTGCATATTTTTGTGCCAAAAGTCACTGAAAATAATGTAATGCTTTCAATCCTCATGAAGGTTCACATTATCTTAATGTTACCTTATTTCAGTGATGAAATTTGCTTACTAGCTCTGTCACACTTGGAATTGGTTGCTAAGTGAAAAACTGAGCATTATATGCTGTCTGATAGAGTGTTATCAGTGCTTAGCGCAGGGTTCATGCTTTTGTGTTAGAGAGAAAAGGGAACATTTTCAACAGCTACTTTGAATTTTTGTCTCTGAACTATTTAAAATATTAATGCTTGGACCGGCTTGCTCCTGATTTTTATAAATGAATGCTTAAAAAGGCTAATGTGCAATCTCTAAAGGTTTGCATGCATCATTGCTACTCTTTTGGTTTTTATAAATGAGCTGTGTGGTTTTTCTGTTCTTCGGAAATTGGTGCCTATATCATATTTTGCTGCAACTGAAAAAATGTTGGTTGTCCTCAATAATAATTTTAAAAATCATTCTGAAGGCCACATACTATTAGTATAATCTAGATACTGTTTGTCCATCATATGTTTGCTTTTGAAGTCATACTGAAATTCCTTTCCTATCTGCTAGGACACGATACCTTCTTAAATCACCAAACAGAATTAGTAACTCCTTATTCTACTCAAGAGTAATTGTCATGTATAATTTTTTTTCTAAAGTGTTCAGAAAGGTGCAACTATTGATGGCATACAGTTATGAGAATAGTACAATTTCTGAAAGACTGAGGAGTCAAGAATTGCTGTTGAAAATCAGGCTTTTTGCCAAACCCACAAAAGCATCTGTGCGATAATCAATTATTTGTATAGCAGGAATCTTTCAAAGATTTGGATCAATAGATTTTGTGCCTTTTAGATCAATAGCCAAACTGATCTTTCAATTGAAGCAATCATCATATCTCTGTAAACTCTTGTATATTCGGAAATACACCACAATACAAGTGAAAACAATAAGACAAATCATTTGAGATATTTCAAAAGTAACATCTAGAGAACCATGAAAATAATAGATGTTTCCCATAACCTGAACAATTTTCCTTCCTGCCTATTTTTAAATAACGTAACATAGAAAAACACACCTATGTTTATAAGAGCACTGAATAAATCACTGGAGATAATTGTGAAAATGTATCTTATACATAAAAGCATGCTGACCTACATTTTCATAGCTTTAAATATTCTCTTTTAAGTATACTGCTGCAGTGTTATCTCTTGAGACACAACATCAAACCTAATTTTGTGCTCATCATGACTTGAAGCTTTTAGATTTTCAAACTAATTATTTTGCAGTTTATGTTGTTTAATTATGAAGAGAAGTCTTCTGTTCCTCTAGTATATTTACATGTACATTGCACTTACATCCATCCCTAGAAAACACACATATAGTGAAGACCATTGTTCAATTTTAAATATAATTCAACAAATTCCTTCATCACCTGAAAATCAAGAAAAAATTGATATAGCACACTGTTCACAGTCACAGTTGCAAAGTTCATCAGTGGAAAGATACACAGGGCCCATTTTAAAGAGCAGTTCTGTGCTCTCTGATGGAGCTCTCTGGTATTAAAAGCCTCAGTCTATCCTGTGTCATGCAAGACTTTCACCAGTAGGGTGGAATTCAAGTAGGAAATAGAGTCCATCCCTCCCCCTCACTTACTCTTCCATGTGAGGTGATGGAGAGCAACAGTCAAGAAAACAAAATTCCACCCATAACTGTGTTGCAGACTGTAGTGAATACCCTGTCTTCCTATATATATAATGGTATTGACCTGCACCAATGGGAGCGGTTGTGAGGTGGAGCCAGAGAAACTAGGAGGGAAAGGTGAGTCAGAGAAAAAGTTCAGAGAGAGACAGAGAAGAAAAAGTTTAGGGGTTGGAGGCAGAGAGAGTGTTCAGGGAGTGATTCGTCAGAATGTGACCTGTATTAATTAAGATAGAAGAGGTTAAGGGAAAATACTGAAGTTTTGTGTAACTTTAAGAATGTGCCCTAAGAACTATTCCTAAAGCAACTTGTAATCAATAAACCTGTTTCTGTTTGAAAATTAAGTACTGAATGGACCTCAGTCTTTCATAGGAACTATAGGTTGATAAAGAGGTCAGCTGGTGGCCGCATGTTAAAGGGCATGTTGGGATACTCGTGTGAGTTCTGTGTTTGGTGAAACAAGCAGGGGCCACAGGGTAAATGCCACAATTGGTGTCCAGCAGCGGGATACGAAATAATCCAATGAAGCCAAAGTTTAAAAGTGAATTTTCTGGAGTCATGGGTACCTTGTAGTCAGAGGCCTGTGGTGAAGAAGTGGGTGACCTGCTAGAGCTTTTGTGGAAAAGCTTAGTGGCTACCCTGTTTCTCCGAAAATAAGCCCTAACCTGAAAATAAGCCCTAGTTTGATTTTTCAGGATGCTCGTAATATAAGCCCTAACCCAAAAATAAGCCCTAGTTAAGTGAAAACCCCACTCTCCACCATTGTGCAGCATTGTGCAGCAAGCAGAAGATAACATGACTGTATTTGAATACATGTAGATTGTTGTACATGGAAAAAATAAAGCATCCACTAAAAATAAAATAAAATAAGACCTACTGCAATTTTGGAGCAAAAATTAATATAAGACCCTGTCTTATTTTGGGGGGAAACACGGTAAAGGTAGGGAACTGACTCTAAAGGAAAAATTCTTTTTTTGTTTGCCTCAAGATTTGAGAGACCCAGTGGGCTAGCTTGAAATCCAAGGCTTTGAGAAATAAGGGAGCAGTGTGGATAAGAGTGGAAGCCTAGGTCAGAGCAGATCTGAGGTGATAGGAAAATAAAAGCAGAGGCTTGAAAATAAAATTATTTTGGTGTCTGTGGGGAAGACTAGCTCAGACATCGAGAGACAGTAACTAAAAGGTTCTGAGCTGGAGAACAGCTAGAGAGAGAGCTGTTGAATGAAGTGCAACAACATAGTTACTGGAATTAACAGCAGAGAGACAGGTCCTTTTGCAAAGCAGTACAGACATTTATGACTAATTCACTCAGACTTAAATATGCCACCCAAATGAAGCCCGAAAAGGAGTCTAGAGCACAAAGTTTACCTCAGGAAGTGGAGAGAAATGGAAACCCTCTAGCTCCAGTGGAACATGAGGAAACTGATGAAAAGCCTCAGAAAACAAGGTGTTCTAAGTTCCCAAGATTTTGAAAAATGGAAGTTGAAACAGAATTTAGGCTTAGAGGAAAAGCCATGGAAATAGATATTGAAATGGAGAAGGAAAGGGCCAGGGAAAGGGAAATGGAATTAAGACAAAGAGAAATGGAATTTCAAATACAGATGAAACAATTGGAATTAGCTGCGCAGAATAATAATAATAACAACTCTAGTGAGGGAAATCTCTCAAAAATCAATCTAAAGAAATTTCCCCAATATAGGAAAGAAGATTGCCCTGAATCTTTTCTGATTTCATTAGAGAGAGTGTGCTGGGACTTTGAGATTAAGGATGATGAAAGGATGATAGTTTTGAGATCACGAATAAGTGTAAATTTAGATGAACTTTATTCTCAGATGCCTCTGGAGCAAGCTAGAGATTTTGATGCATGTAGAAAAATAGTATATTCTAGATTTGGCATAAATGCAGAACACCCTAGAATAACATTTTGTTCCCTTACCAAAAAGCCTGAAGAATCTTATGCCCAATTGGGGGCTAAATTGATTTCAGTGTTTGGAGAAATCGATGGAACATGAAAATGTCACTTCTCTATAGCAAATGAAAAATGTGGTTGGTTTAGAACATACAGATGGAGAAGAAAGTTTACCCTGTGCACTGACCACTCAGCATTGAAATAGTTGAGAACTTTGCAAACAAACAGTAGCAAACTGACCAGGTGGTCCTTGATTCTGCAAGATTATGACTTTAAAATTAAAAACATCAAAGGATCTTTAAATGTGGTAGCTGATGCTTTGTCCAGAAGACCCAATGATTAAGTGTAAATGTAAATGTTTATGTTTTTATCTGTAATGCGTGATTTAATCAGGAGAAAATGTTTATGAATGTATGGTTTTCAGGACTGTATAATATGGTAAGTTTAAATAGTACAGTGGTGCCTCGCATTACGATGTTAATTCGTTCCAGCGAAATCGCTGTAGAATGAAAACATCGTAAAGTGATTTTTAAAAGCCCGTAGAAACACATTAAAACCTGATTAATGCATTCCTATGGGCTTGAAACTCACCGTCCAGCGAAGATCCTCCATAGCGTGGCCATTTTTGCTGCCCGTGCAGTGAGGAATCCGTCCCAGAAAACAGAGGGCGGCCATTTTTTTTACCCGGTGGCCATTTTGAAACTGCTGATCAGCTGTGCGAAAATCATCATTTTGTGATAATCGGTTAGTGAAGCAGGGAACCGATCATCGCAAAGCAAAAAAACTCCATAGGAAACATTGTTTTGCGTTTGCTTTTGCGATCGCAAAAACTTCATCATGCGATTTCGTCGTAAAACAAAGCGCTCGTCTTACAAAGCACCACTGTAAATGTATTACAGTGGACCCTTGACTTACAGACTTTTTGAGTTACAGACTTCTCTGGCCGCAAAATTTAGGTTTGATTTGCAGACTGAGATTTGACTTACAGACCAGAAAAAAATCAAAATGGAACAAAAACGGCCTGTTACGGGATTAATCGGTTTTCAATGCACTGTAGGTCAATGGAGACTTGACTTACAGACTTTTTGACTTGAGAACCGCCTTCCAATATGGATTAAGTTCTCAAGTCAAGACCCCACTGTACTTGATAGAAGCCCATATGGCAAGTATCTATAAGTATTGGTAAGTTGTTATATTTGCACGTACTTAGCTGTTTGTTTATGAGGGCAAACTGCTGGGTTTCCCCTCATAGAACAAACTTATTAAGGGGGGAGGTATGTAGTGAACACCCTGTCTTTCTATTTATATAATAGTATTGACCTGCACCAATGGGAGCTGTTGGGAGGGGGAGAAGCCCATATGGCAAGTATCTATAAGTATTGGTAAGTTGTTATATTTGCACGTACTTAGCTGTTTGTTTATGAGGGCAAACTGCTGGGTTTCCCCTCATAGAACAAACTTATTAAGGGGGGAGGTATGTAGTGAACACCCTGTCTTTCTATTTATATAATAGTATTGACCTGCACCAATGGGAGCTGTTGGGAGGGGGAGCCAGAGAAACCAGGAGGGAGGGGTGAGTCAGAGAAAAAGTTCAGAGAGAGACAGAGAAGAAAGAGTTTAGGGGTTGGAGGCAGAGAGAGTGTTTAGGGAGTGATTAGTCAGAGTGTGATCTGTATTAATTAAGATAGAAGAGGTTAAAGGAAATACTGAAGCTTTGCGTAACTTTAAGAATGTGCTGAAGAACTATTCCTAAAACAACTTGTAATCAATAAACCTGTTTCAGTTTGAAAATTAAGTACTGAATGGACCTCAGTTTTTCATAGGAATTATAGGTTGATAAAGAGATCAACTGGTGGCAGCGTGTTAAAGGGCGTGTTGGGATAAATGGTGTGTTTGTTGAAACAAGCAGGAGCCACAGAGTAAACGCCACCCAGACAATTTGTGGCTCCTGGAGCTGGGAATGTAATCCTTCTTTATTTAAAATTAGATCTCACTTTGACGTGCTTCTGAGAAAATATATTTGGGATTGCAACCTAAACTATTGAACTGAAAGTGTGGTATGTTCCATGGAGACATGATCTTACCAACAGCAATGCCAACCAAGAGCTACCATTTTTAAACATAAAGAGGCCATAAAGGAACATTAGAACATATGTGGTTAGTATTCCTGAAAGTAAAAGTATTCTGTTATGAGGTAATTATCTGGATAGAAAAAAATAACAAATCAAAAAATAGTTCCAAATGAAACTTTATTATTATTCTCACCATTTACCAGAGGAAATGAAAATTTATCAAATAAAGAATTGGTGGCAACTCTTACACGGGCAATGTGGAATGAAATTGCCCAGTGCTAGGAAGATGCTCAGGACCTCACTTTGAAAAGATGTATGAATAAAATATGGAGAAATTGACTAATCAGGTCAGATTATACAGAGGGGAGATTTTAAAAGATAGCTTTATGAAAATATGGCATCCCCTGTTGAAATCTGAGATTGAGTAAAAAAAAATAGAATAAACCAAGTGGACAATGGGTTGGACTGCATGTTATAAGTGAAATCAGCTAGAGGATCATGAATGCAATAATAAGCCACAGAAGAGACTATGTGAAAACATAAAGAAATAATGTAAACACTGTGTATATATGAAGGTATAAGAGTTTATGAACAAGAAATTTGCTATTATTGTAATACAGTCAGTATTGTTCTGTCATACTATTTTGAATGGACTGAAAATTATTATTTTAAAAAAATTAGTTACTTGAGATAATTTCAGTTTTTGGGGACTAAATTCAGTTTCTCTGCTTTCTTGTCTTGTCAATACCAGTGCAATTATTCAGTTAGTTTCATACAAGTAATACAAATCTAAAGATTTGGAGCAAAATTTGAAATAATGGAGAGTTGTAAAGAATGAAATATTAGGGCAAAATAATATAGAAGCATGCTCCAGTTTCTCTCTGCCGTGAATTATGAACCTTTATAGCCGTCTGATTTTATGATAATTTATTTTTTCGGTTTCAGAAAATACATCCACAAAGAGGAGACAGCATCCTTAGTGACTCAAAAGAAACTAGCCTTGCTTTATTTTCAAATCAACGGAACCATCATGTGCCTCGTCCAGTGGGGTCCAGATCATATTCTGATTCGGACACCATGCAGTTTGAAGATCGCTCACTGTCTAAACTAAAAGAGAGTGACAGGTGCACTGCCACAGAAAATCTCTTTCTAGATACATTGTCCCTTGACTCTCCAGATGATTCTGATGAACCACATCCTCAGAAATCAGAGCAAGAAAGGTTCTTAACTTATGCTAAAGAGGTATGGCTCTCACCTTTATACTGTATGTTATATTGTAATAATTAGTACAGTATTGACAGCATTCTGCCAAAGAAGCCTTTAAAGGATTATAGGGGAGTTCTGAAGTCATATGGGAGAATGTCATGAGAGGGAGAAGAGACTGTTGAATGGCTGGCAAATTTTGGGGTTCCAGGCTTGGGTCCCCAAATGTTCTTGGACTACAATTCCCAGAAATTGTGGCCAGCACAGCTAGTTGCAAAGTCTTCTGGGAGCTTTAGTCCAAGAACATCTATGGACTCAAAGTTGGGAACTACTGGTCTAATACCATTAGGTGTGAAATATGAAGCCTTACCTGTGACCCAAGTCACCAACTCCCATTTCGAAACTTTGCTTTAAACAAGAGAGCCTGGCACATATATTTGGCTACAATTATTGGAAGTCGTTTGTTTTTTTGTGTTTTTTGTACTGTCAGCAGTTCTGTTGTGCCCAGTCTGATTAAAACCCATCCAGGGCTAAAAACTAATTTATTTTTATGATTTTTTATTGCTCTAACAAAGGTACCCCCACCCTTGCCTTCAGATCATATAATAGAATTTTAAAATTACACCCTGTGCATTTTGGAAAAGTGAGTTCCTTCCAGCTGTACAATTAGGACTCCAGTACATGAAAATAAATATGTCAGAGAAGTTTAGGAGATGGGGGCAGATCCTTGTTCTAATTTTTTTTAAAATGTGGACAAATTATATGTGAGATTACCTGAAAGAGCTTGTCATAATATGGTATAAGTAGCTGAAGGTTGTGAAATGGTATTTTAAAATGCCACAGTGGTATTGTCACACAGTCCTTGTTCCTACTTAACAAATGAGAGGGAAAGTTTTTTTTCCCCTGACTTGACATCTCCCCTAGATTGAAGAAGCTATGACTTCTGCTCCCTTTTGGGAGCAAGATTTGAAGATTTGTCACATCTAGAGCAAAAATGGGAATTATATGCCTCCTTGACCCTTAAGGAGGCTCCCCTATTAAACCACCACCACCACACCTATTGAAATAAAAATCTCGTTGACTGAAAATGATGATGCCAGGAGCAGATGGACTTAGAGCATGAGTCAAGGTCTTAATTATTAGTTGAGGGTTGGTGGGGGCTTTATTTTTCGAAATCAAAAGTGAACTTCCAGTCAGTTCTGGTTCTGAAAAAATATGGGAAATCTCCCATATAGTCAATGGTAGAAAACTGACCTAGAGACTTAGAGTTGCCCACCGATGTTGTAGGCTTTCTCAAAATGCTGTCCATGCTATTTAGCAGTCTAGTACACTGTTAACGAAAGCTAGGCAGCAAATAGGGTTGCAAAAAAATATTTTGAAGAAATGCTTGCTACTTCTTGCTGTCTATTGAAAATCTTTGGCACTTTCAGGAATGGAAAGGAACAAGCTAGATTAGTGTATGAACAAAACTGCACAGTTAAAGCACTTTCTTCTCTTCTGCATTGTGATTTCAAAATGCCTAAGCCTGTGGGTTTTCTCCCACTGCATGTTGGCTTCCAGATCTCATGAGTAACTCTAGACAACAAGGTGTGCATGCACACAAGAGAAATGAGCAGTAGCCATGTGTAAATGAATGCAAATGAAAAACACATACCATTGTAGATTTTGCATAGAATAACCCCTGACACAGTTTTCTTTTAGAGTGTCTGTGTTATGCATGTTATTTTTTGTGTAAGCTCAGCATTAGAGGCAGAATAGAGGCCATTGCAGCCTATCAGCCAAGGCTGACAATAGCCTTTGGTAGACATAAAAATGTGTCTTGGGTTTTTTTTTATGAAGAGCCTTATTCAAATGTTACAGACTAGATTCAATTCTTAGTATTAACTAGAGTAGACCTACTGTATCAGTGAGACACATTTGTGCTAATACATCACCTTAATTCAGCAAGTCTACTCTAGTAGACCCCTTCATGGATTGCTGCCTTGTCGTGGCAAAGGGGCTTGAGTAATTCAGAGAAGCTGTGGGCTATGCCGTGCAGAGACACCCAAGACGGACAGGTCACAGTGGAGAGTTCCGACTAAACGCACTCCACCTGGAGTAGGAATTGGCAACCCACTCCAGTATCTTTGCCCAGAATACCCCATGATCAGAAACAAAAGGCTAAAAGATATGACACTGGAAGTCAGGCCCCTCAGGTCGGAAGGCGTCCAACATGCTACTGAGGAAGAGTGGAGGACAAGTACAAGTAGCTCCAGAGCTAATGAAGTGGTTGTGCCAAAGCCGAAAGGACGCTCAGCTGTGGACGTGCCTGGAAGTGAAATGAAAGTCCGATGCTGCAAAGAAAAATACTGCATAAGAACCTGGAATGTAAGATCTGTGAACCTTGGGAAGCTGGATGTGGTCAAACAGGAGATGGCAAGAATAAACATCGACATCTTGGGCGTCAGTGAACTAAAATTTAATTTATTTATTTATTTATTTAATTTATACCCCGCCTATCTGGCCCACCGGACAGGAATGGGTGAATTCAACTCAGATTACTATCATAACTACTATTGTGTGCAAGAATCCCGTAGAAGGAATGGAGTAGCCCTCATAGTCAACAAAAGAGTGGGAAAAGCTGTAATGGGATACAATCTCAAAAATGATAGAATGATGTCAATACGAATCCAAGGCAGACCAATCAACATCACAATAATCCAAGTTTATGCACCAACCAGCATTGATGAGGAGACTGAAATTGAACAATTCTATGAAGATCTACAACACCTTCTAGAACTGACACCAAAGAAAGATGTTCTTCTCATTCTAGGGGACTGGAATGCTAAAGTAGGAACCAAAGAAAAAAAAGGAACAACAGGAAGTTTGGCCTTGGAGTTCAGAACGAAGAAGGACAAAGGCTAATAGAGTTTTGTCAAGAGAATAAGCTGGTCATCACAAACACTCTTTTCCAACAACACAAGAGGCGACTCTACACATGGAAATCACCAGATGGGCAATATCGAAATCAGATTGATTATATTCTCTGCAGCCAAAGATGGAGAAGCTCTATACAGTCAGCAAAAACAAGACCTGGAGCTGACTGCGGCTCTGATCATCAGCTTCTCATAGCAAAATTCAAGCTTAGACTGAAGAGAGTAGGAAAAACCACTGGGCCACTCAGGTATAATCTAAACCAAATCCCTTATGAATACACAGTGGAAGTAAAGAACAGATTTAAGGAACTAGATTTGGTGGACAGAGTGCCTGAAGAACTTTGGATAGAGGCTCGTAACATTGTCCAGGAGGCAGCAACGAAAACCATCCCAAAGAAAAGGAAATGCAAGAAAGCAAAGTGGCTGTCCAACGAGGCCTTAGAAATAGCAGAGAGGAGAAGGGAAACAAAATGCAAGGGAGATAGGGAAAGTTACAGAAAATTGAATGCAGACTTCCAAAGAATAGCAAGGAGAGACAAGAGGGCCTTCTTAAATGAACAATGCAAAGAAATAGAGGAAGATAACAGAAAAGGAAAGACCAGAGAGCTCTTCAGGAAAATTGGAGATATTAGAGGAACATTTTGCGCAAAGATGAACATGATAAAAGACAAAAATGGGAAGGACCTAACAGAAGCAGAAGACGTCAAGAAGAGGTGGCAAGAATACACAGAGGAATTATATCAGAAAGATGTGGATATCCCGGACAACCCAGACAATGTAGTTGCTGACCTTGAGCCAGACATCCTGGAGAGCGAAGTCAAGTGGGCCTTAGAAAGCCTGGCTAACAACAAGGCCAGTGGAGGTGATGGCATTCCAATTGAACTATTTAAAATCTTGAAAGATGATGCTGTTAAGGTGCTACATTCAATATGCCAGCAAGTTTGGAAAACTCAACAGTGGCCAGAGGATTGGAAAAGATCAGTCTACATCCCAATCCCAAAGAAAGGCAGTGCCAAAGAATGCTCCAACTACCGTACAATTGCACTCATTTCACACGCTAGCAAGGTTATGCTCAAAATCCTACAAGGTAGGCTTCAGCAGTATGTGGACCGAGAACTCCCAGAAGTACAAGCTGGATTCCGAAGAGGCAGAGGAACTCGAGACCAAATTGCTAACTTGCGCTGGATTATGGAGAAAGCCAGAGAGTTCGCTGACCACAGCAAACTATGGCAAGTCCTTAAAGAAATTGGAGTGCCTGACCACCTTATCTATCTCCTGAGAAACCTATACGTGGGACAGGAAGCAACAGTTAGAACTGGATATGGAACAACTGATAGGTTCAAAATCAGGAAAGAAGTATGACAAGGCTTTACATTGTCCCCCAGCTTGTTTAACTTATATGCAGAATATATCCCAAACTGGAATTAAGATTGCCGGAAGAAATATCAACAACCTCCGATATGCATATAATGCCTCTCTGATGGCAAAAAGTGAGGAGGAATTAAATGAGGGTGAAAGAGGAGAGTGGAAAAAACAGTCTGAAACTCAACATCAAAAAAACTAAGAGAATGGCTACTGGTCCCATCACCTCCTGGCAAATAGAAGGGGAAGATACGGAAGCGGTGATAGATTTTACTTTCCTGGAGCTCCATGATCACTGCAGATGGAGACAGCAGCCCCGAAATTAAAAGACTACTGCTTCTTGGGAGGAAAGCGATGACAAACCTAGACAGCATCTTAAAAAGCAGAGACATCAACTTGCCAACAAAAGTCCGAAGCTATGGTTTGCCAACAAAAGTCCAAAGCTATAGTCAAAGCTATGGTTTTTCCTTAGTGATGTATGGAAGTGAGAGCTGGACTATAAAGAAAGCTGACCACAGAAGAATTGATGCCTTTGACTTGTGGTGCTGGAGGCGGCTCTTGAAAGTCCCCTGGACTGCAAGGAGAACAAACCTATCAATTCTAAAGGAAATCAACCCTGAGTGCTCACTGGAAGGACAGATCCTGAAGCTGAGGCTCCAATACTGTGGCCATCTCATGAGAAGACTCCTTGGAAAAGACCTTGATGTTAGGAAAGTGTGAAGGCAAGAGGAGAAGGGGACGACAGAGGATGAGATGGTTGGACAGTGTCATTGAAGCAACCAACATGAATTTGGCACAACTCCGGAAGGCAGTGGAAGATAGGAGGACCTGGCAAGCTCTGGTCCATGGGGTCACGAAGAGTCGGACACGACTAGACGACTAAACAACGACGACTCTAGGAGAGATTAAAACTGGATTTAGGCCCATGTCATTGTTTGATGACAGATTGCTCCAATTTCTGCCCAGACATGCATAAGGAATAGATGGGAGAAAATAGTGTTCCCAGATCTGGAACTTTAATATTGACATTTGTTTTGGAGGGCTTGAATTTTTTGTCACTGTATTGAGTTTGCATATTTTACTAGGATTAAATTGTTATCTTTTAAGCTGTAAAGGAAATTAGTTCAATAAAATAGGAGTTCTTAAAAGCTGGTCATGGAAATTATGATTGTGGGAATGGTTCCTATGACGACGCCAGATGTTGTGAAAAATCTTTATGGCTTTCAGTATGAAGAAAGTCTTTCCACATATTTAACAACAGTAGTTTAATGAGATTCTGCTGATGCTGGTTCTGATTGTCTACTGAAATTATAATAAAATAAATGTGTCAAAATAGTAGATATTATCTCTTATCTCAATTTAGCTGGGTCAGTAATATCAAAGATATATTAGAAAAGTACTTTCACATATACAAATCTCATGTGAGATGTTTACTGGTTATTTTTGCAATTACATTATTATGACTGAAGTATGTTTTAGAGCATTGACATAATTAATTTGTGTGTCCGGCCTTAGTAATACAAGGGAGACTTAATTATACTAGCTAATTGAATGAGGAGTGTTTTATATGTATACATATAAGGAAAGCATTCCCTCTTAATTGCCCAGATACACAAAAAGGGGAGAAAAGGATAAGCAAATATGTTCTTCAAAGGATTTGCAGGAATTTGAAGAATTATAGTTAATGCAAATACAGCCCACTGGCACATATATATGCATGCACACAAGTTCAAAATTAACTGTTAATTTTACTTTCAGGAAGAAGAAATGCACAAGGGAAATCTTCAAAGGTGAGTAAAGACAAGAGGGGAAAAGCAAAGCATAGAATAAATTACATGAAGGGTATATTAACACATTTACCTTAAATTAATTCCTGAGATGTTGAGACTACATGCCAGAGGCTCTGTTGTATAAGAGAACAATGCCTAGAAGTATTGCATCTTAGCTGTTTAGCTAGTTTAAACAAAACATTATGAAAAAGTTTTGCATAACCCAGAAGCATTTTGCAAAATATTGCACACTTTAAAACAACAAAATATTTTAAACTATCAATAAATTAATGGATGGTTGCAGTCTGACATAATGTGATATCCAAGGGGCCAACAAACACTCAGCCCTGTGAAGGCAGAACACACTCTACCCAGAGATTTGGCTTTCTGTTTTTCCTCCAAAAATGTTTCCTGCTTTACCTCTAAAAATGCCTGAAGATTTTTTAAATCTTCCAGTTGATTTGTGGTGCATGTTCCCTTTTTGTAAAAGCAAGACCATAAACACATTTGATGTATTTTGATTGCACTTGTAGTGGAAGCCCTTGAACATCTATGTTATGCCTTTAATGCCTGTGTGATTTATCATTTAGTTATCAGGAAAGCCAGCACAATGTATTGGTTGAAGTGTTAGACTAGGACTCAGGAGATGGGTGTTCAGATCCTCACTCAGACATGAACCTCACTGGGTAGCTTTGGGCCAGTTTTGTACACCACCATGACCTCATGAAAGGAAAGGAAGGATATAAATGAAAGAAAGAAAGAAAAAGAAAGAAAGAAAGGATTTTTATAAATACAAAAAAACCACACATACTTTCCTCAGCAAATTTATCACTTAAATCACATTGTCTTACTTTTCAGAGTTCACAATGTTTTCTGGGGCGTTTCACCTATTACTGCTTTAGTCTAACAGAATGGTATTGTTTATGTTGATGTTTTTGTTTCCATTTCAAAATGAATTCAGTCCTAATGTAAGTCAATACAGGAACTGTTTTTAGTAGTACTGCATAATGACTTGTGCCTTCATGGAAATGACAGACTCGGCAGTACAGAAATGATTGTGTAGAATTGTGGTTTTTTCCCAATGGTTTTTTTTTTTTTTTTGAAAATCCTTCCTTCAGTCATATTTTCCCCATTTCTAAACAGTGATGAGTTTCTCTTTAAAGCAATTTTTTTCAATGTGGCAAATATTCCCTTGAATATGGCACATTAAATGGCTGACAAAGTTTCATCCTTTACTCTGTCCATATACTTGGAAAAGAAAAAAGTTGAAAATACTGTAAAATAGTTCAGTTGTATCTCTAAGAAAACAACGGAAATGCCTTCTAAATTTTTTAATGTAAATATTCAACACTAACTGCAAGTAATAACGAATCTTGAACAGCAGCATTTTTGATATACAGAATTTGAGCTATATTACTGATGCTTATATTCATTCAATTAATTTGTTATGCATTTCCTTTTTCAGAGCCATGTCAGTTTCTTCTATGTCTGAGTTCAAGCGCTTGATGGAGATTTCTCCTTTTCTCCCTGATAAGTCTCTGCCCTCCACCAAGAGCAAAGAGGATATAACACCTCCATTATCACCAGATGATTTAAAATACATTGAGGAATTCAACAAAAATTGGGATTACAGCACTACCAGAAACCACAGTGGAGCTGTAGATAGACCTGCCGAAGCCTGGGCAGAGAGAACAGAGATTGGGAAGACAGGGAATAATTCCATTCCAGATCCATTCCAGCCTGAGTCATGGTACCTTACCACCAATGTTACTATGACAACTAATACGGTGACCAGCCCTGAGCACTGCCAGAAACAGCCACTGAGGAGTCATGCTGCTACAGAAAAAATGGGAGTTAGAGTCTTTCATAGTCCACCAGTTGTCCGGAGGTTTGATAATTCAGCAGTAGCTGGCCATGAAGGGAAAAGCCCCCCTGAGCCAGATTTTTTGTTTCCTGTGACCAAAGCTAAGGGGAATGTGGGTGAGACAAAAGGTGCTTCTTCAGAGGTGTTTGGGCGGTGGTCATGTGACCTTCCCAAACATCACAACAATTTTCTGGAAACTGGTATTCATCCCATTGAGCGCCCTATTTGCACTACTGTGAGTTTTGCCTCATCCTTGCACAGTCTGGAAATGTCCAAAAACATGAGCGATGACATGAAGGAGGTGGCTTATTCTGTGAGAAATGCAATACGTTCAAACTCAACAGAGCTTCAGTTCAAAGATACAGCTTGTCAGACCAATGGAATGAGGACTATGGGAACACAGACCACTCAAACGATCAGTGTGGGCTTGCAGACAGAAACTTTGCGCAGTATCACCAGCAGTCCACATAGGTGTCTGACACCAAAGGGGGGCTCCACACCTATATCATCACCATCAAGAAGCTTAAGAAGCAGACAGATGGCTCCTGCTATTGAAAAGGTCCAGGCCAAATTTGAACGCACGTGTTGTTCTCCCAAGTATGGCTCCCCAAAATTACAGAAGAAAGCTTTCTCTAAAACAGATCAGCCAAATAACCGGACATTACCAAGCACACCTCAGAAAGGGTTCAGCGAGTCTGCTTGGGCAAGATCCACCACTACAAGAGAGAGTCCAGTCCATACCACTATCAACGATGGCCTCTCCAGTTTATTTAATATCATTGACCATACCCCTGTAGTTCATGACACCCTCCAAAAATGCTCCAGGTCTGGCAGCCGATCAAGGTCGGCAGAACCCAGGTCAGAACTGGGCCCTATGCAAGACATGTGCACAAGTGTCCGTGGTAGGTCACCCAGTCCCCTCCGTTTCAGCACAGAGCTACAAAAGGACGAAGGAGCAGAGGTAACAAGTATCAGACAGGACTTGTCTGCTCCTCTAGGATACACCCTTACAGAAAATGCTGCCAGAATCCTAAACAAGAAACTTATGGAGCATGCCTTAAAAGAGGAAAAAAGGCTAGCTTCACACAGCCCTCCCAGTCTTAGCACCGAGAACAGCACAGGAGAAATAGTGAGAGTTGAACCAGGGTCCATTGAGGTAATGAGTCTATGCTCACACAGTAAACAGTTTTAGGTGATTGATTATATTTTTAAATGCCGATGAAGAAGCACAAGCGCCTTTGAATAAAAATGAAACTTGTTCCATAATATATGTCTGTTAGAGACTGTGCATTTTGGAATAATTTTTAACACTATAGATTCCTATTTTATACACAGGCATGTGGAGAGATGTGGCATTTCTCTATGATAGATAAGCAAGAAGAGGTTAAGATGAATTTTTGAAATGAATATATTATAATCCAGTGAGATTTCATTGTGGTGTATCTGAAAGATAACAAATATATGAGATCATTGAAATAGAACTGCCATGTTTATAATTTTTAATATGTGACATTGCAATCATAATCATATTTAGTCACATTGTAATCCTACTGAGTTCAGTGGGGCTTACTCATCAGCTGGTGTTTTTAAGGTCATGAGGAGGAATCTCATATATATTTGGCCCTTCTCATGACAGACTAAGGAAGAATAATCATGACACATGGGATTAAGAAAAAGAAGCTGTATTATATTGTGCTGCATTCATTGCCAATTTAAACTTCATAGTCAGACACACACTGGATCCTAAGTGTTACGTGAAATTAGATTTCCTAGTACAAACTTACTGGATAGAGGAAATTTTGGGCAAGGCTTCAAGGGCTAGTGTTAGAAGATGGAATAGCTCAGGGAAAACACTTCACACAATGCATTCCAACACATGCTTTTCTATCATATCTTGGAAACCTTCAAGATATTCAACAATCTCCATAAGTAGCTTGATCCATGAATCCACTATTTTTTGGGCTATACCCTATGTTGCATTTTCCCCCAACCTACAAATACCATCATGTATGAACATTGTCTGAGTGTTGTGCCTTGTGGAAAATTCAGAACAGAGATGTGATTTTCAACATGGCAGTGTGAGTTGCTGTGTAATTTTTCTGCTATGAGAAAATGACTTGCCAAGTCTCATGTGCAAAGATGGTCCTTATTTAGATTGCTTTTTCCCAGGTGTCCTATGGCTCTTGGCTAGGAGTAGACATGGGCTGGGGTTCAGATTGCCCCTAAGTCACAAACTTACTAGGGAGCGTTTCTTAATAAATCATCTTACTCTTGAACAAGGGTAATATTTGCATTTACATTGTATATTACTTGTACATTTTAGCCAAGTGATTATATTAGACTGTTTTAAATGGATTGGCAATATAATAATCATTTTAATTTAATTTTCTGAATTTGTTGTGAAATTACATTTCAAAACTGGTAACTCTGGTTAACCTTTAAAGGACACAAATTTTAGAAATCTTTGAGAGAGAGAGAGAGAGAGAGAGAGATTTTAAAATATATATATTTATATATTTACATTTTCCCCACATTTATAAGACGACCCAATGTATAAGATGACTACCCACTCTTTTCTAACCCCAAATTAGAAAAAGCAGGGATCAAAGGGCTCCCTTTTTGCTGAGCTCCATGTCTTGGCAAAAGGCAAGGAAAGTGACTATCAAAGTGGCTGCCGCTTTTCCTTGCCTTTTGAGAAGGCACAGAGCTTAGCAAAAAGGAAGGGAGCAACTCCTCCCCTTCCTTTTTGCTAAACCCCACGGCCCTTGTCTTTTGAGAAGGCATGGAACTTAGCAAAAATGAAAAGAGCAACACCTCCCCTTCCTTTTTGCTATGCCCTGTGCCTTCACAAAAGGCAGCGGTAAAGAACTGCCTTCCATCAATTTTTTCTCAATTTATTTAAGGAAAAAGTGTCATTTTATACACAGAAAAATATGTTATTTTGGTATTAAGAACTGGACATACAATAGCAGCAATTTTCCATGAACACTTACCCAAATTATGACAAAGCAGAAGAAAGAAATGTTGCACCGTGTGTGATTAATACAGTAGATTTTGTTAAATCATCTTCATGAGTCACACTCTTCACAGAGAAAAAACAAGAAGTCTTATGGCATCTTAAAGACTGACAGGTTTTATTGAGCGTAAGGTTTCATGAACAGTTACCCACTGGCTATTGTCACAAAAGGTTATGCCAAATCAAACTTGTTTTTTAAGATGCTTCAAACCTTCTTGTTGTTTTTGCTCTGAGGTCCTAACAAGGATACATCCAAAAATATTTTTAAGAAGGCAGGTATTTGATTTAATGTATATTTGACTATGCATGTCTACTGAGAAACAAAAACACTGAGTTCTAGGGGCTTACTCCCAAGTAAATGTGCATAGAATTTTAGTTCTGTCAAAGCACACAGTGACCCTCTGGCTATGTGCTCCCTCAGCCTTATTTCTCTAACTGTTTGGCTTAAAGATACAAAGTAATAAAATTTGTAGGCATGTTAACACAAAGATCAGCCTCATTGATTTCAGCCGGGCTCATATAGGACATGTACATCTAGTATCCTAATTATGTTACAGATATGTACACTCTCAAGAAGGATAGTGACTCTGAAAAATATAACTGCAGAGAAAAACTTAAATAATGCAAATTTATATATATATTTATATATATACAACATATAAGCTTTGAACGTGAATTTGATAGTTTCCATTCAGATGATGTCTAAACACTCCCTCCCCTCCCCTCCCCCCGAGATTGGGTAGCTGAACAACACCTAAAAAATTGGCATGTTATGCTAAGTAAAGCTACTTTCCTGACTCTGGCAGTGGGTATTCCTCACTTATTCCTCCCTAATCAGCCAGTCTCATCAAATCAAAGGAAGACTGTTTTTTCCCCTGCTTTGCTAGCATGATCCCTTACTGATTCTGAATACTTGCATGGAATGCCAATTTGAAGCTTGTTGCTAATTCTTTTGTGCTTTTAAAATTATTGCTTTCTTCTAATATACCATTAGGTAATTTGTGATATTTACTAAAATGTAGATTATCAGTGTGTATATGCATGCAGTTTAGCACTAAGTATACATACGTTAAAGACACAGCAGTGGTTGTTTCATAATCTTTTTATCTTGTCTCAGTGGCATTATGCTAAATTCATTACAAGATGCAATTCTGCAAATGCCTGATCTGTCATCTTACTGCACTTCTATCTGAGTAGCATACCATGGTAAACAGATACCCTAAATTCCCTCTGTCTGGTCAGACAAAAGGCAACATGATTTTTCTCCCTTCTGCTGCCAAAGAATTTGCATAGATCAGCCATCACAGTATTGTTCAACAGGATGGGAAAGAGAAGAGCGTCTGAAGAAAGAACAGAAGGCCATATTCTCTCCAGCAAGAGTAGCTGCTGCTTTGCTCTCCCCATCATATTCTGTTCTTAATAACATTGTTCTTGCTGCATAGTGTCCTCTGCACTGACATCAGTTTTGACAGGAATAGCAGATGGCACTACAATGCCAATCTTATCCTTTCTGTCCTTTCTCTAAGACTATGGGACAAAAATAAAAGAGCAAATTCATATCTGCTAATAAAATTAGCGCCTAGTTTTTCCTGTTTTAGCAGTATGCACAATTTCTGTTTTTATTTTTTAAATAGATTGAAGCTCATTTGAAATAGTTTGACAGAGATTTGGAAAAGGGGAGATAACGTTCTTTTCAAGTAAACATACATTTAAAGGCCATCTCCTCATATAACACAGTGCTAAATTGTCACTTACTTGCTTTCTCAATGTGACATTAGCAGTGTACTGCCGCTTTCACAGAACTTCTCCAGTAAAGGCAGTGATACCAGAAGGTGAGATCCGGAGAGCTCTTCAGTGTTGACTTCAAATCTCTGGTTTAAACATTCTTTCCAACCTACTTCCTCTCTTTTTTTTTCCCTCTGTCTGTCTATGTCCAGAACCAAACTGTCTTACTAACTGCCCCCTGGGGACCCTAACCCTGCCTGCCTCACTGCTGTAAGTCCTTTCTACCTTTATTTCCAAAACTCTGTTTTTAAAAAAAAAGCTATACTATACTAAACTAAAAGTTTACTGGGTGGAGAAGGGTAAATTCAAGAAGCAATAGTCTTCTTTGTTGTTGTCCTGAATTGTCAGTGGATTTTACACAGTTCAGGAAGAATCATAGTCCTGTACAACTCTGTCTTTGATTCTAAAATATTTCCCAGTCATGATTCATATAGTAAACATCAAATCATTTAAACCACTGTGTTTCCTCTTAAACCAGATTCATCCCATGGAACTCAAATGAGCCAAGGTGATCCTAAATGCAAATTTGCTACGTTAAGTTTCTCCCCATGATACCCGTACTGAGGTTTAGGGCTACCGTCGTTGTTGTTGTCATCATCATCGTCATCATTAGTCTCTTGCCATTCTGCATTTTCCCATTCTTTTTGGCACCCGCTAACACTGTATTGCAGTTTGCAAATCAATGGAATAGAGTCAGCTTCCATACTTACTTCTCAGAATTAGGATCATGGTTCAGATGTTGCAGAACAGTTCAGCACCTAGTCTGTGGCGACTTAAGCTCATCCACAGAATCTGGTCATTAAAAGCTCCCAAGGTGAAGAAGCTGAAAGTAAAATGGCAGGAATCTGAGATTTCTACAGTTTTTGTTTTAGTGGACTAAGTGTTCTTTCAAACATCCATGTTTTTCATAGGTTTGTTGCCAATGCAGCATGATAGCCTAGCCATTGCAAATGTTGCCATTGCATGGTGATTTGCTCATTTTGTCTCAGATAGAAAGGAAACAAGGTAAATTAAAATAAAGCTTAATAAGTTAAAATGTCTCATGATCTGAGTCCATCTTTAGGGTGTGTATAAGCAGGATCGATGGGGATAGTGGGAAAGTGAACTCACTTTTTTCAAATATATAAATATCCCTATAGGTTCATGCCTTGCAGGGAGGAGGCCACAGTACAGTGCATTTTCAGTTAAAGGCAACTATGCACAGCATTGACAAACTGGAAGTAATAATGTAATGAGCTTTCCTCTCCCAGAGTTAAAATTGATTTACTTTACAGTATCTTAAAAAAATGTGGTTTGGGGAAGACAGATTTTACGGCAGTACAAACATTCCAAATTAAATCACATTGATCTCAGTT